CATAAAATCTATAAGGCAGTCTTACAACAAAGACAAATAAATCAATTTTTAAAAAAGGATTTGAATACCTCTCTCTCCAAAGAAGGCATATAAGTGGATAACATGGGAAAAGATGTTCAAAATTGTTAGCTGTCAGAAAAATACAAACTGAAATCTCAAGGTGCCACTTCACACCCACAGGATGGCTATCATCAAAAAGAGAGTAAGTGTCAGTTAGGATGTAGAGAAGTTGGAATCCCCACAGGTTGCTCGTGGGACTGTAAAATGGTACAGTCATTTGGGAAAACAGTTTGGTGATTCCTCAGAATGTTAAAAAAAAAAAAAATTTTAAAAAGCTACCATTTGACCCAGCAATTTCAATCCTAAGTATACACCCAAGGGAAATGAAAGCAAGTCCACAAAACAACCTGTACATGAAAATGCCTGATCATTACTCATATTGGCCAAAAAGTGAGACAACCTAAATGTCTATCAACTGAAAAACAGATAAACAAAATGTGATAGAGCTATATAATATTATTTGGCAATAAAAAGGAATGAGGCACTGACACATGCTACAATATGGATTAACCTTGCAAAAATTCTCTCACGTTCATCACTGAATTGTCCATTTAAATGGATACAGTAACTTGTATGTAAATGATACTCCAATAAAGTTGATTTTTTATAAAGTAATGAGAAGCTGAGAGAGAGAATCCAGTCGCAAAAGATTACATGTTGTATAATCCCAATCATACGTAAAGTCTAAAACAGGCAAATCTATAGGGACCAAAAATAAGCAGTTGCTAGGGACTGAGAGAGGGAGGGATTGAGGGTGACCGCTAATGAGTATAGGGTTTCTTTCACCGAGACGGAAAGTCCTAAAATTACGTTGTAGTGATGGCTGCATAACCTTGTGACTATAAACAAAACCTTTCATTGTACACCTTATGGGTGAATTGCATGGTACATAAATTACATTTCAATAATTTTTTAAAAGGCATCATTAAAAAACCAAAGCAAGCTACAAAATGGAAGAAAATATTCACATCACATGTATCTGACAAAGTATGGACGATATAAAGAACACCTGCCACCCAATAATGTGATGACAATCCAGTAAAGATTGAGCAAAAGATCTGAACAGACACTTTATAAAAGAAGACATACACGTGGCCAATCAGGGCATAAAAAGATGATCAACATGATTCATCATTAAGAAATGCAAATTAAAACCACCCTATGATATTACCAAACACCCATCAGAATGGCTAAAAGTGAAAATCTCAAGGGCTAGCAAGAATGTAGAGCAACAGGAATTGCCATATGCTGCTGGGCAAAAAGATGTAAAATGGTACAACCACTTTGGAAAACTGTTAGGCAGTTCATTAAAAAGTTGAACACAACATCTACCATTTAACCCACTCATTCTCCTCCTAGATCTTCACTCAAACATGCATGCAAAGACCTGTACGTGAATGTCTACAGCAACTTCATTTATGAGAGCTCCCAAACTGGAAACCACTCAAGTATTTATAAATACAAAAGTTTAAAAAATGTGAAATATCCATAATTTTGGAATACTACCCAGCAATAAAAAGGAACGAACCACTGAGACATGCTACATGGATGAATGTCAAAATAATGAGTGAAATAAGCCAGACACAAAATGGTACATATGAGTCAATTTATATGATGTTTTATACAATATAAAATAATCTTGGCCAGGCGTGGCGGCTCATGCCTGTAATCTCAGCACTTTGGGAGGCCAAGGTGGGCGGATAATAAGGTCAGGAGTTTGAGACCAGCCTGGCCAACACGGTGAAACCCTGTCTCTACTAAAAATACAAAAACTAGCCAGGTGTGGTGGCACATGCCTGTAATCCCAGCTACTCAGGAAGCTGAGGCAGGAGAATCACTTGATTCTCAGTGATCCCAGGAGGCGGAGGCTGCAGTGAGCTGAGATGGCGCCACTGCACTCCAGCCTGAGCGGCAGAGTGAGACTCCATCTCAAAAAAAAAAAAAAAAAAAAAAAAATAGCATTTTCCCAAAAACCCAAA